TGAGGGCCAAACGTTTGTCGGGATATTAAGCTAGGGCTTCTGCAAAGTGAAATGATGATTTTTCAGTCTGGATTATGGTTTACACAGCATTTTCTCGCTAACTGGTTTTTCCTTCAACCATGGAGGCATTTCGGGTAATTGCAAATCTCGTCAGCATCCCTTTTCGGGAAATCGTGACGCAATTAATCCCACAGAACTAATTCCCCGTCACCACCAATAATTCCATGAAACTTCATTGTGTGTGCGCCTTTCTCCCGAATACAATTCCCGGATTAAGTTTTATGCTTGCAGGAAAATTCCGGGTAATAGTTTTCCTCGTGTTTTCAGTGTATGTAATTTAGGGCAACCGAAATGGGGCTTTTATGCAATTAATGAAAAACCGGTTTCTAAACTATAAAACTTATTTTTTCTAACTAAAAACTATTTTGATATATGTAAAGCTAACGCGTTTTTGAACGGAAGTTTTTTCGTCAATTTGATTTCGCGCAAAGGCTGTTTTCAGGCAACAGCAGGAAGAAGCGTTGTTTTGAAACATTTGCCCCAAAGATCTGGATGGCTTTGAGCAGATCTCGTGCCCCCTCGCAATTACCGCGTCGTCATCTTTAGAAAATGTTGAGTTTACGCTCGAAAGTTACTTGTTTCAATTTCGAGGGGAACAGCAACGGCTAAATGGAGAATTCTACTCTGTTGCCGGAAATGTTGTTTTAACCAACTGATGTGCTGAATGAAGTGACTGAATTGTTCAAAACTCTGGAAAATTATGCATTCTGAATCCCGGAAAAATTGCCTACAGCATCACAAAAATTGAAAAGATGATATCCAAACCTACATTGATTAGGAGTGAATAAACATGGTCTGCTTTGAGCCCATTCCGCTCGCATCTCTCTTAGAACACACTCGGATTGTTTCAGCCATTAATCAATAGTTCCGGACGACGGATCCGAACAAAACACAAATTACTCTTTCAAGTTGAGATTGAAGGGAACAAACGCTTTGCCCGATTGCAGTTGTTGAAAGTTGAAATGGGCATTTCCTGTACCTTTGATAAAGTAAAGTCGGTGATTTGTCTTGATTAGTCGGAAGCTGCCAGAATCGTCCAGAAAATTGCGCGGGTGTGATTTAGGCAGGCGATTGGATACATTTTCTTTCCACTCAGTCAAGTTCGAATCATCAATAACAACAAGTCAAATGTCTCCAACCAGCCTCAATAAATTCCATCTTTTCACGCAGTTTTTTTTTGGGAAAAACGTGCACATATTGCCTGTTTCAGGCGCGCCATAATAAATGAAGGTTCGTTTTTATTGTCTTCTCCATCTCCGCCCATTGTTGGGATAAATCACCCATCAAGTAGTGAGTGCACGTTTCACAATCTAAGCTCGATCATCTCCCAAAATGAAATATCGAATTGCGAAGAACGGGGAAAATGAAATATGGCTGAATGAAGTCAAAAAACCTGGATTATTGACTGCGTGCTGGATCCTCAGAAGGCTTAAACAGCTGAATGGGCCCCGAGGACGTTTTGTGGGGTTTGAGACAGGTCGAAAACCGCTTAATTAGAAAACCGAAAAGAACAGAAGGAAAGTCTTGTGAAAGTCAATTTTTTTCAAATCTCATTATACGCTGGTTGGATTTTCGAGCGCGTCCCAAGCAAACATGGGGTGCTAATTCTCAAACAAAATGCAAATTTGCTCGGGATTTTTACCGAAAGGGTAACTGTGTGGCGTCGTAGGTCTTTCCGGTCTGTTTTGGACTTTGTTTTCAATGGAAATTTTCCCGTTTAATTAAATTTTCAAATTTGCACAGTCAACAGCAAATATTAGTCGTTGCCAAAATCACAGAACGAACGTTCAATGTTGAACGTTTTTCCTTCAGAGAGTCTGATAAGCTTCAGTTTAAGAGCTTTGTGATGCGCTCAAGATACATGCATAAAACCACGTCTATTCCAGACAAAAATGGTCGAAAAAATCTCAGGGAAATATTCGGGCCGTGTCCCCGAACACGATTTCCCAAATGGACCATGCAAAATATGATTTTATATGAAATATTATATATTAAGCGTGTAGATATTTTGTTGAAGTGCTTTTTACTGAATGGAATTGATGTTGCTGCTTCACTGAACTGAATAGGGCCATACATAATAAAGCACCAAAAATATTCGCATGGAATCTGTATCATACACATTTAATGATTAATGATTGCATAATAGGACCGGTTGTGTTTGTTCATGTGATTTTTGCGATTTATTCCCGTTTATATACTAATCAATTCGTTTGAATATGAACAAACTGAAGTGGAAACTGTATTAATTTCGTTTATATTTATTATGTTATATTATGTTTTATTGAGAAGGTTTCCAAGGTTTACAAGTGCGTTTTTATTAATTTCTGGGTTTTTTCGACACATGAAGCGACAAAAATGTGCTTATACAGGGTGTTTGAAGCCGAAATAGCGTAGATGGAGGCTGTTAAAGATTGGAACTGCTTGAAAACCGCTTAAAATCGGCCAATTTTTGCAATTTATTTTGGTTTACAGCGCTCTAGCAAGTGTTTTTCTAGGCTGCTTGCATTTCTCGCTTTCTTCCGATGGAAATAATGTATAATTTGAGAGATTTAGGGCCATCTGGGTTTTTGCCAAAAATTAATAACTTTTTCGACCAAAAATTGAATTTTTACATACGCGTTTTTTGAGTTTTATGGATAGTTTCCGGCCCAAGAAGCTTGTTGAGGGCATACACAGGGTATTTGGGGTCATATTAGCGCAGATGTAGGCAATCGAAAATAGGAACTGCTTAAAAACCGCTTAAAATCGCCAATTTTTGCAGTTATTTTGGTTTACAGCGCTCTAGCAGGAACTTCACCGGTTTGGAAAACATATAAATGAAAACGGTATCAAAGTTAAACTTTAAACATTTTCAGACGTGCGTTTCTTCTATTCAATGCAAAAATCTTCAGGTTCCCCACTTTTCCCGTTTCGCAAAAATACACGTTCAAAAACGATTCGTTATCGAGGGTTCTTTGTAACCGTTCTTGGCGAGGAGGGTTAAACTTTGAAAAATTCTCCTTAAGGCCCTGAGAACGGTTTCAAAACAAAAGTCCCAACATGTACAGATGTGAGTTGCTTGTATGGAACGCAAAAATCGTCAAGTTTCCAGCTCCACTCATTTGGATGAAAAACGCATTCAAAGACGACTCGTTACCGATGGTTCTCTGTAACCGCTCTTAGCGAGGAGAGTTCAACTTTGAAAATTTTCCTTGAGCCAGTATGAATGGTTTCAAAATGAGCCTTCTAGCATGCTTCTTCAATTGAACGTAAAAATCGTCAAGTTCCCAGCTCCACTCATTTGGAAGAAAAACACATTCAAAGACGTCTCGTTACCGATGGTTCTCTGTAACCGCTCGTAGCGACTACGATTCAACTTTGAAAAATTCTCCTTAAGTCTGTGAGAATGCTTTCGCAATAAAACTTCTAGCATGCAGAGATGTGAGTTGCTTGTATGGAACGCAAAAATCTTCAAGTTCCCAACTCTACCCGTTTCAAAAAAATATACATTTAAAGACGACTCGTTACCGATGGTTCTCTGTAACCGCTCGTAGCGAGTAAGATTCAACTTTGAAAAATTCTCCTTAAGTCTGTGAGAATGGTTTCGAAATAAAACTTCTAGCATTTACAAACGTGAGCTTCTTCTATTAAATGCAAAAATCTTAAAGTTCCCAACTCCACCCGTTTCGAAAAAATGTACATTGAAAGACGACTCATCATCAATTGTTCTCGTGATGGCCCTAAGGGCCATTCAAGGGTTTTTAGATCAATGCATAGTTTTTAAACCGAGGAGCTGATTGATACCCATATACAAGGTGTTTGAGACCAAATTAAAGCAGATATAAGCAACTGCTCTAAAATCGCTCAAAATTGCAGTTGTTTTCGTTTAGAGCGCTCTAGTAGGTTTATATTTGCTCTGGTCGCATTTTGCACTTCCTTTGGAAGAAAATAGTGTGTAATTTAAGACATAAAGATCAATACCGCGCAAAACTGCTCAAAATAACATTAGCAAAAAGTGCTTGAGAATGTTTTCAGTTTTGCCTAGCAGAGGTATTTTCAAGCTTGAGTAGCCGAGGCTTTAAATTGTATACATTTAACTTGTAGGGTTTTTTTGCGTGCAATAAATTCTGTCGTCTTTCCTATCCCCAACAGTGCGGCATCCCAAAGCTCTAATTACATAATAATAATACACCGCTTAGACCATCGAGGCTCTGAACTCATTAATTTTCAGTGGCAAAGTCCTTAAAATTGAGTTTGTGGTCACCCTAAGTCCGCTGTTAAAGTTTAATTAAAATCTCTATCGAGTGAACGACTACTTTAATTTTTTCAAAGGACTCTCCTGATTAATTGTCGGTTCAGTCTTCGTAATTGGATTTAAAAGTTTTGATTAAAATCTGGGTCTTTTGTTTTTGTTCAATTATCGGGGAAGACGTTAATCTTACACCCCTTGTTTGCGTAAAGCTGCGCTTTTTGTAATCCAAAAATTAATTGTTATCTCAGGCCAATTGAATGCAATGAAACTAAGCCCAAACATTGTTAAAGTTTTTCTTGCTTAACGCTGTTTAAGCTAATGATTCTTGAGTGGTTTTGGAAATGTTCGATGATCGTTAAGCTCAATAATCAAAGACAGCAAACGAAACTTTCAACTTGAACCCGTAAAGTTGACTAATTAATCGAAAGGTGCAGACTTCGGTCGCAAAAGTGCAATATTAATTAGTCCCAAGTTGGACTTTCAGTCGAGTTTAGCACTTGGCAATAAAAGCGAAAAACGACACCCATTGGGGTGAACTTGCGACCTGGCGGCGATCACATCGAATTGGCCTAAACAAACATGCCCCGAAATTGGCAGAAGTTTCACTTTTGCCGATGTTTAGTTATTTAGGGGAAAGTTTTAATTTGTTGTACGACATTCGAAGGAATTTGCTGGAAACTGCACGGAAAAAAATGGAAATCTCACTCACCTGAAACCCGGATGTTCCCGCAGCTGAAGAGCTGGGATGCAGATGGGAGGCGCTGGTAGAGCCATAGTACTGGTTGTAGCTAGTGTCCAGAATTTTTTTGTGCGCAGATGCGTGCGCTCTATAAGCTGACACACTCAGCTTCATTTTCTCCACATTTTCCTCGCACTGGATGAGCCCCCCGACTGCTTTAAACCCAACTGAACTCTGGCATTGTGTCGCTTTTTTTCTTGGAAATACTCTCAACTCAGTTCGGCGATTTCCACTGCCACTCGGCTCCTCTTAGCTCAAAGTGACTGAGTGGAATTATCGATTAGTGATCATATTGAAGGTGGAAATAACTCCTTTCTGTATAGTTTCAATAGACCAAGAGGCGGTTCATGTGAATTTTTTATTAATTCTCATAGTCAGCAGTCGTAGGTTTGAAAAACAGAGTCGATTGAGGCGTTTGAAGGGGTGTTGAAGTGGTGTTGGGGCGAGTTTTGGGCGTAAGAATCTGCAACAAAAGGAAGGTTTACAATTAACTTTTTGCTCTAGAATGGATGAATGTGAGTTGAATCGATCAAGCGTTTTTAGATCGTCAAAATTGCGGATCTTTGAACCTTTCATAAAACCATTTTTTTTAGTGGTGATTTTTCATTTTCAAATTAAATTTAAAATAGAAGATAGAAGGGAAAATTGGATAAACTTATAAGTTTCAAACTCATTTGAAATAAAAAAAAAAAATTACTGTCATTTAAACTGTCGTTGACAATTGTGTAAAATTACCGTGCATTTTTTTGAACTTTTTTAACCGAAACCGCAAACTTTTACTTTAAACCCCCATCTCGCTTCCATCGCTTGCGGCCCTCGACTACGATTGATTAGTTTACCTCAAAAAACTGTTGCAAAACTCCATTTTTTTCCGTAAACTTCCCCAAGATTAAGGTGCTTTGTTTTGCACATTTCTTGTCCAACAATGAAAATGTGAAATATTCCGAAATTAATCTCGGCAGCAGCTACAGTGAGGAAAAGTACAATTTTCGAATACAACTTTCGAACATTTCCTCATCAGTTAAGCCTCTAATCCTGAAGTTCTCAAGCTCGTTGTGAAGTTTGTTTAATCATTTGGCTTCCTGTTGTATTTTCGAAGTTAAGAATATGGCGTTTATTGTGAACAGCAACTTTGGCCATTACGTTCAACTAGCGCAAACTTGGCATTTACTTAGCCCCGTTATATAAACTCTGTTGATATGATAAAGACTCCATCATGCTTGCAAGTGGAAACGGTATTTACTCATGAATCGGGCATTTTATCCATTTTTAGACTCTGTTCATAATTGATGAAGGTATGATGGGCCGTTTATTAATGAATATATTCTTATCCCGTCGCAGATTAAAATGATGTGCCTTGTAAAGTGGCGTTGTAAATCTGCATTTTGATGAGCCAAAGTCTTTGTTGGCTTAAAACGCATGGTGGCTTTTCTGCATAACGATATTGCTTTTTAGTGTGAAATTGCGACGAGCTTGTTTGCGTGCAAATGGAATTAGGGAGCTTAATAAAGTCTTTGCCTAGATAACTTCTTGTCAAAAATACGCTATTTTGAGATGCTAAACATTCCCAAAATGCCATTCCAAAGTAATTTTAGTTGGTTTAGAGCGTTTTCGCCCAATTACGGGGGTTTCAGTGAACCCGAAACTGCACTTTACGTAAGACCAAAGCGCTTTGTTGCCTGTTGATGAGTATGCAACTCGAAGCATACAATAAATTAGCCTTGTAAACTGTTCGCATTCGCCACTCAAGGGCAGTTTACATAATGATTGATTTCCGATTTAATTAGTTGACTAATGTTGGAAAACAGGTGGGAAAATTAATTATTTTTGCATAAATTAGCGCGCCTAAAAGCGGACAGTTTGCTAACAAAAAGTGCAGAAATTCCGTTTTCTTTGTCTATCGCTGCCTTATTTTTACAAACAAGAGCAAATAAGAAACTCCCTTGCCTTCCTTATTAATTGTTTTCCATTATACCGAATGTGTTATTAAGCGCGGCCAAGGGAAACGTTTCATTTCTAAACTGTCCTTTTCGGCAGTAAATGTGCGCAATTCACGGATCTTTTGCTTGAATAAGCATCAAGCAACGGTCGTGAACTAAACTCGACTTGGCGGTCTTTGCCACGCAAGCCTCCAAGTAATACACATATAATTATTCAAATGGAAACGGAATATTGGGCTCAATGTAGAGGGCTCAGCTTCAAATTGGTGCCTAAAGTTCCATTTAATGCCTCCAAATTACCACGAAGGAGGAAATTTTGAAATGAACTGGAAAAATTGCTCCAGTTGCTGCCTACCGGCCGAAAACCGGATCAAATCCAGTTGGGATTATTTTAATTTCAATAGTTGTTGAAAATTCTATTGATAAATTCAGTTCAGTTCAAATGTAGTTATTTTGCCATCATAATGTTAATCTAAAGCCCTAGTCACATGAGACCAAACTGACTCTCTGCTATTGGTATTTACGATGGCAAATAACGCTTATCGAAATTTCACCGATATCTACGGGATGGAAAAACCACACACTAAACGAGAAAAGGGGATCGGTTTACACATTGATCGCGATTTTCGCAGATAGACTTCTCGACGCCGACCTTTTCGCATGAATTTCGTTTTCGTCGGCCTCAACAAAACAAGTTGTTTCGGAAATGTTTGCGTCTATATCGGGACAAGATTTGTCTCTTCCAACCGACTAAGGGAACAGTGGAAAATTAGCTCTTAACCCGGAGCGGCCCTCTTCGAAGTTGCCTCCAGTGTAAACAAGCGGGGGTCCATCGCGAGTAATTAGTGAGGAAATGTGTTAATTGCTGAGCAGTGGGACTTAAAGAAAATTTGATCGGGATTATTCAAATCAAGCGCGAAGGAAAAGTGGAAAATCCATTTAAGAACATCACAAATCAGTTAAATTGACTGTTATCGGGTGTTCTTAGGGCGCACTGTAGGTTCATCAGTAAATGAAATGTGGAAAGTGGTGCAAAGAGTCACATTTTTGCGCTGAGTTGGGCATTAGTAACACGTTTTTGCGTTAAAAACTTTTTTCTAAAGTTGAAAATTTTTGCGTAATTTTCGGAAATTTGCCACATTTTTTAAATTTTTCGATTTTAAAAATTCCGTCGTTTGAGATGCTTTTGAAATTAAACTTTAATATCAATTGGCTCAACAATATTATTTAAATCAAAAAAGACATTGTTAAACGAAGCAAATGATCTCCAAGATTGAAGCTTAGGCACTTCATGTCCTTTGGAGGGTGTTTATAAACTCTTATTTAACACGTTTTTGCCTTAAAAACTGTTTTTCTAAAGTTGAATATTTTAGTGTTTATTTCGGAAATTTACCACATTTTTAAATTTTTTCCATTTTGAAAATTCCGTCGTTAGAGATGCTTTTGAAATTAAATTTTAATATTAAATTGCTCAACAATATTATTTCAATTAAAAAATACATTGTTAAACGAAGCAAATGATCTCCAAGTTTGCAGCTCAGGCAGACTTCATGTCCTTTGCAGGGTTTTTATAAACCATTAAAAAAACTAAATCATCAAATTACAAATTAGCTATTTCAAATTAAGATTGTTGAGTTAAATATAGATTTTCTCAAGAGTTAAAGTGTGAAGTTAAAAATTGTGTGCTTTTTCCCACTGTTGAAGAAAAAATTTAATTTGCTTTTCCATCCCATTTCAAACCATGGGAGCCATTTCAACGTCCAACCACTCACAGCTTTGTGCGTAAAAAATCATCGATTCTAAATAAACGCGTTTAAATCAAACCCTTAAATTGTCGCTGCCAAGACACAATTTACACCAAAAAAACACTAAAACTTAGGGGTTCCAACAACCAAATAAAGTAATAATCCCCTTTTTACAACTAGACAATCGGGTAAATTAAAAATACGAGGAAAACTCACCGCTAGAAAACCCCACTCGATGTATATTCCTTTGGCGAAGTTCACGCAAGTTTCACAGGAGAAAAAACTGACACAAACGGATCGCGAAAAAAAATCGATCAAGACACGCTAATGCCGATCAGTTTTTTTGGCACACCCGATATATCATCCCTTGAAAACGTGACCGAGTGGGAGACGGAAAGATCGGCTCGTGTCTGCTGAAAACTCGCTACTGAAACCGCTGAAAATTTCCCTCGATTCGGACTTCGCATTGCGAAAATCAAGCAGACTATTTCGGATGAAAACAGGCGGGGGCAGCACCTGTCGAGTCGCTCGAAGGCACTAAATATTGGCTAAATGCGGATAACATTTCTACCGGGAAGTTAACAAATAAAACTCATTGGAAGGATTGTACGAAAAGCGAATATATTTGCACTTTTCTTCAATTAATTGGCAAAACTTTCACGTTGGCCCTCTCATCTGTAAAAATACACTTCCAACTGCAGGAGAGATTAAAAAGGCGAAAATTACATGTAAACAATAATCACAGCAAAGCTAAAGCACGACCAAAAGTTAAAATTTAAAATTGATACAAATGCAACGTTTATAAATGCCATCTGTAAACCACACCAAGTAAAAAATATAGAAACAATTTGCCCATAAAATACACGAAACATTTAACAAATAAAAAACAATACGAAACGACTATTTAACAGGAATGTCACAGAAAAAGCGGGAATGGCAAACGAATTTAAAATCTAAGGCCACACCTTACTGAACAGATCCATGAAACTATCGTAAATCATGAAAGTAATGGCCACATCCAAACACACTCTACCCAATCTGGGCACTGTTCCCTTATAGAAAGCGAGCGCTCCTTCGTTTTTCCAAATTTGAATGGCACAGTCCAGGGTGTTTTTGTATTTGCTGGCCTCCAGGCCTTGCATTCGGGTTTTCACCACATCCAGTGGAGTGTTACCGAACACCGAGGCTGCACCTGAAAAAAAATCAGTTTGAGCAAGTGTTTCAGTGAATTCAAATTGAAAGTGAAGGGGTAATTTACCCGCGGTAGCGCCAAACAGCCCAACCAGCCACTTGGGAACCGGTTTCGACTTGTCTTCTCCTTTGTAGGCATCTTTCAGACTCTCCATGACGAAGAAACGAATCGCTTGATTCGAGCCTTGTTTCATCATGGTAGCAGTCAGTCCTTTATATACACCCCCAAAACCTTGAAAAAGAAGATTTCTCACATTAACAATTAAGAGTTTCTACTGCCCAGATAGGATTTGATATTCTATGAATATCCCAGAATGTTCAGAAAATATACATGGTTCAACATTCCTAACATGAAACATGCATATATATTCATCAAAGTTCATAAAAAATATATCCTAGGTATGTACATATATGTACATATTGGGTATATGTGCAGATGAACATGCCAGGTGGGTACATATTGTGTATGTGCAGGTGAATATACCCAGTATGTTCAAAACAAATATTCCGGTAATATACATGAATTATATCTACGGTATATTCCAAATTGGTTGAATATAAATTTTGCGTGCCCGCAGCAGAAAAGTAAGGGCATGTAAAAGTAAATCTTCTTACTACTA